CTGGGTGGCATCATTTTTCAGCCCCGGAGATGGCAGCTTGAGCTCAACTAAGTAAAAAAGAAATAATGATTGGATTGAATATATATATATATATGTATCCATACACAGAGTCAGCTGTAACACCTGCATTGCAAATGAGAGTGCATAAAAACTAAATAAGTAGAAGTCTACATAGGAAGCTATAAGTAATGAATAAAGAGTTCAAATAGTTAGCTATACTTAAAGATAGGCTATTGAGTTGGCTAAAAGTCAAACAGACACACAGGAGATTGTTACGATGGAAAAAATAGTTTGCGAAAAGTAATGAACAAACATTTGAAATTGCAAAAAGGAACGGATAAATGATTGGCATGATGAGATAAAAGTAATTTAAAAAGAAACAGCTATTTGTTGCTATAAATGGATTAAATTCATAAAGCTAAATTAAACTGTTTAAATATCTAAGAGTGATGGTTAAATGGTCGAAACATCTGGCTTCTGCCAAGAAGTAAAGTTTGACCAAAGCAACCTGAGCATGTCATATGAATTAAGGCTGTTTCTTATTGTACTTGTGGCCAGACTAACTACAGTGAGTTATCTTCTTTCATTTCTCTTCTTACTGTGACTACGATTTCTGAATGGTGTCACTGTTTTTCACAGAGCAGCACTTTTCCAGGACACTGCTTTTTAACCGATCTCTTTCCATCTCTCCTTTTAGTGCTACTCTACCCTCACCGTCCCCTCACCCATCTGATCTCTGCTGCAGTGTTAATTTAAGTGAACCCAGCTTTTCAGATCAGCAGTTTTTATCCAACACACACGGACACACTGAACCTTTTGTCCATTTGTTAAGGTACAGTAACTGTGGTGACTGAAGTGCATTTGGTACTTTTTAATGGGCCATAGCTTCCAGTGAATATCCAGCGTGCTGTCACGCAATGACACAAAATGCACTCAGATTCAAGCTCTGTAGTATTCCTTAACTATTATTTTAACTTGGAAGTCACGTGTCATTGCACTCATGGAAAACTTTTATCAAAACTTCTTTTCCTTAATGAAAATTCTGCCTTGGAAATAATCTCCTGCACTCACTTTTCACTGTTTCTTCATCTCACTTATCAATGCCTCGAACCACACAGCCATCGTATTTATATTCTTATGCCCTGCAACGTTTGCCAGTGTTAACAGATCATGGTGGATAATCTGGCTCCCTGCATTGCTCAAGTTTCCTACGGTTGCTCTCCTAAATAAGCAGCGTTTGTCAGACACCCCTGCAGTCATCCAGAGGGCTCGTTCTGCTCTGTCTACCCGCGCTGGTGCCTGAGGGGGGAAACACTAGTGCTCCTTCACACACACACACTCCACCAAACTTGGACACGTGCCAGGCTCCATCTTTGTGGCCCATTCCTCCTTTCTCTTCCCTTTATTAACCTCCATTCCTCTTCTTCCCCTCCTCCTTATCCTCATCCTCCTCCTCTCTCTATTTCTGCTCTTCCACTCCTTTACTTCCTCCCGCCCCTTTTCAGTCTGTTGTAAATTGCGTGTGGAGAAATGGGAACTAAAAATACGCCAGTGATAAACCCAATTATCTGTCCTTTTTCACGCTACACGCCCAAATAGCTTAGAACATGGGACAGGCTGTGTGCCAGATACCAGCCCTCACTGTGTGTTTGTGTGCCTTCACCTGAGTGAAGTCATTTAAGAGCAACTGAGTGCTGCTGGCAGCGTGGAGCTACCAATCCAATGACCACGGCACCATGGGCTGATTATGAAACAATGGGCCCCTGGGCACAGACATGCAAAGGGCCCCGACAGCTCTCTTACATAAGAGCAAGACATAGATACTCTGTTGTGGTTTTGCATGGTTGTAGTTGTTATGCATCGTTTTTTGTGGTTTTGTGTCTCTTTTTGGTCGTTTTGTGTCTTTTGGGGGTAATTTTGAGTCTTTTGGGGTTGTTTTGTGTCTCTTTGTAGTTGTTTGTGTCTCTGAAGTAATTTTGGGTCTTACTGAGGTCATTTTGTGTATCTTTGTGGTTAAATTCTGTCTCCTTGTGACAGTTTTGTGTCATTTTGGGGTAATTTTGTGTCTTCTTTAGTCATTTTGTGTCTCTCTGTAGTCACTTTCCCTCGCCTTGTGTTCATTTTGTGCCTTTTTGAGGTTGTTTAGGTCACTATGAGGTAATTTTATGGTAATTTTGTGTCTCTTTATAGTCACTTTTTGTCTCCTTGTGGTTGTTTCGTGTCTCTTTGTAGTCATTTAAGTCACTCTGAGGAAGTTTTGTGTCTTATTGGGGTAATTTTATTCCTTTTCTGGTCATTTTGTGTCTCTTTATAGTCACTTTTTGTCTCCTTGTGGTT